ACCTTTGCTCTTGCACTGCACTGGGCACCTGCCAGGGGCTAAATATCCCAGCTGCTTAGATAATTACATATTTATGATTTTGCCGAGAATTCTTAGTCAAAGCTTATTTTTGAACTGTAAAATGCTTAGAGAAACAGCAGAGAAAGTTCTCTGACAAATGCTGCTTCAAAACAGAGCCAACACTTAAATTTTTTTAAAGGACGTTCATTTCCGTTGCAGTTGATTCATTCAGTGGTGAACTTTAATGGCAGAAAAAGGAAAGAGATCTTGCTAGTGTGTTTAACTTGCTCTCTGTAAGGAAACAGAAAATTCAAAAACCCTTCCAAAAATGATTCAGAATAGTGTACATAAAATTTTTAATGCTTACCACAGTTTGCACCCTACCACATGATGGAACTTTTCTTCTGTATCACCTTATTAGTAGTATTTCCTCTTCTACACATAAACCACTAGATTAGCTAATTCATGCTGATCCAATAAACAGAACTCATGTGTGAACATTTTGAAATATAATTGTTTAGCCACAAAAATTATCACACAAAATACACTGCACTTCACCTTCCCTCATCGATAATAGCATCCACTGATTTCAGAAGGAGCAAAACAGTTCAAAATTTCATGTTGTTGGTTATTTTAGACTATTTCAGAACCTTCTAGAAATATTTTTTTTTTCCTTTTAAGGCTGCACTCAATAAACTGTACAACCAACAGCCTCAACAATAAATTTCATGAGCACTTTTAGGCCCTACTGTTCAAAGTGCTTTCAAGCTTGGTTAGCTTTATGCATGCAAGTACTCCTTATTTATATTGCAAAAGAACTACTCCTACACCAAAAATTACATGTAGGCACATGCATTTGTATTTCACAGAATAAGGGCCTTAGTCTTGTGGAGTTATTTATTTTGAATCAATTATTCTAGGTTCTTGAGGGCAACATCTTCAGTCCTGTCAAGTTTCATAAACTCTGGAAATCGCCCTGTTCTCAGTATGACAACTGACCTTCAGCTCCACCACCTTACAAAGAGCTGCTCATCTGCAGATACTCATTTTATATCCCTCTAGCTGAGAGATGCCATTCCGCGCGTCTTGAAACAAAGCCAATTTTGTAATTCCAGTGCAAAAACCTTGGAGCTAGAGGCACAGACCTCCAGCTGTCCTTGGCAAGTGCCAGGAGAGACAAGGCTTCCACACCAAACCCAACTCTCCAGCTCATATCCCCTTCCCTTGGTTACCACCTTCCTTTGCATGGAAGCATTTCAACATACTGGCCTGGCAGAGTAGTATTTGGCTGGGTTTAGCTGCTGGGAAGCACAGGCTAATAGTTACGTCCATTTATTAATTTACCTGTCTTCTAAGGAGTGTGAAGGCCACAGGACTATCTGAAGGCACCCCAAAGACATTCAAATTAAAAACAACTTGCTGCAGTCTTGGGGAAATTTTTGCAGACATCTTTCAGTGCCTTCACTTAGGAGTGAGTCACTCATTCTCCCCAGCTCCTCTCCAAGCCCTCCTGCTGTTTCTGAACTAAATCCCCTGTAGGTAATTACAGCAAAATGTTGCACCCATGGATTTGCTGGCCCAAGAGACTCAGTGCCTCAAGAGCTCTTCTATCCCATCTCTTATGAGTAGGAACAGTCGACATAACACACAATAGGTGTATTACACCCTCAAAACACAGTATAATGTGTTCACCTAGAAGTAGGCAGCACTGAAAAGAATGGATTTAAATCACCTACTTGGTATTCCCCCCAAGACTGTGAGGACATGCCTTAGCTGTTGATGACTCCGCTTGCCTGGGGACTCGGAAATTTTGTGTTCACTGCCTATGCTCAGACTTTACTGTGCCAGGTAGCAATAAACAATAACAACCTCTATTCTCTTGTGCATTAGACCTTTTTAACTGATCAGGGTGTTGATCTTTGTCAAACCATCCACGTATAGCCTCAGAACATGGACACTGTTTTCCAGGATGCCTGTAAGAAGTCCACCATACGGCCCAGCTTGAGTCCTTCACAGCCCTTTCTGGTTACCTCTGCAGAATTAAACCCATCCCAGCAAGTTGTCATGGGACAGTCACAAACTGGTAGTTCCCACCTTTCTGTAAGCTCCTGGGTTTTGCACAGTCCAGTCTGTATTTCTAAATTTAGATATACATCTGTATGTGTGTATAAATACATGCACAGATAAGCACACGCCTATATTCCCACATTATTTATGTGAACACACAAACCTGCTTCAGTGACTTGCAAAGGCAGAAAGGCAAACTGGTTTGCGTCCAAAACTCACAAAAAAAGCAAGACACAATGGAAAATCTTTCTTGGGTGAGCTACAAGTTCCATTACATAATAAGAACATTTATTTGCTAAAGCCCTTGTTGAAATCCTGATGTCATCTTTTGCTTAGACCAAAGATCCATGACTTCAGATCTTTACTTCCGACACATTCGTTAATTCTTGTGACCACAGATTAATTACCCAGTTATCAGCCTCTACATGAACCTTCAAAATCCTAGAAAAGTAGCATTAGACACTTAGTTTCCTGCAATTACCAGGCCTTTTTCAGTAAGCCTTTGCACCTCTCCTTTGACATGGTGAAGAACATTAAATTTGGCTGAAAAAATGGGAAGGAGAACTTACACCCACTGAATACAGCCATGCTATATCACAATATCAATATTTGATTTTCTAAAGAATTGCCAACAACTACAATAATTTTTAAAGAGTAACTAGCATTTTACCCTATTTGGTTTATCAGTTAACATATACATAACATATGTATGCATATCATAACGTAATAGGATGCAAAAAATAAGCTTCTTTTAATTACCTTGAAAATTGAAAATCTAAGAAAACAACAGAAGAGGATGGAGTATGTGTAAATTGTTATTTTGGGTGGTTTTACTACTAAGAAATGGAACTGACAATCAGGATTTAAACATGACCAAAAATGCTATAACCATTTCTCAAGGGAATCAGAAATTAATTTCTTATTCAAATATATGTGTTGAACATGGGCAACCATGGTTAAAGCAAGGCCTTTTTGGGGCATGTACAAAACCTGCTTTCTTCAGCAACCTCTGGTCCACACTTTGTTTACACACAGCAAAGAGAAAAACATAATAAAACCTCTAAAAGTCTTTTTTACTGTACAGGTTTAGATACAATTACTTTGGGGATGGTAAAAAATCTGTCTAGCTTGTCTCTTAAATCTACATTCAAACTATCTCAAAGTTAATCAGAGGTGAGTAATGGTTTAGAAATCTCTTGAATAATAAAGTATAACAACTTATAGCACAAAAACAGCCCTCAAAGACAAGAGTGGGGAGTACTTCACTTCACTGCAAGTAACAGTTGAGTATGTTTTATGATCACTGTAACAACTACCATGCCCTTGAGACTTTGCAATTCTGAATTTCTAACATAATTTGTAGGGGGAAAATTAGGACAAAATGCAGTAACATTTCAAGTACAGTCTCACAGTATTTTAAAATTTTATGAAGTATAAGGACTAGGTTAATATGAAATGAGTCATGCTTTTAAGAGAGGCAGTAATACAGATCAGTATCTTAAATCATAACTAAAATAACTCAACCACTACAAAATAAAAAGAAAACAGAGCAGCATTTTGCTGGAAAAAGGTCAACAACAACAATGAAGATTTAACAATACTAGAAAAGGCTGAGAGCACTGCTCATTTCAGGACCAAGAAGTAAAAATACCAGTCTGAGTGACCAGATAAATACTATTCTTTCTCACTCAACAAATCCATTCCCACCACCTGAAGCTCATCCCAAATTAATATAAACTCTACTCATATAAACTCTGAGCCCAAAAACCAGACTATTAAACAACATACAGCCTTGGTGCAGATCTTCTGATTTCAGAGGAATATTTGCTTTACTTTGTGACAAATATATTACATTTCACTCCGTGGTGTCTTTGGGAGTTAACAGAATTGCTCACTACCTCAAAGTGAAGGAGTTACATCCACACAAACTCTCTTTGAGCATCATTTTCCTCACAGGGCAAAGACAGTGCAGTTGCAAAGGTATAAATAAGTGAGGCTGTAATTGATTTACATACTCTTTAGATCCATTTCCACATGCAAACCAAGGGAAACCAGCTCAGCTCTCAGATCCAAAACTGAGTTTTCAAAGCAAGTGGTTCAAAACATTACCTCTTTAACTTCTGTACTGAGCACAACAAGAGAGAGATGCTTTAAATATAGAATTCACACTGGCACTTTATGCATTTAATTCTTAAGGCTAATGCTGAAGGTACCACTCTTATACACCTCAACTGTGACAACATAAGATACCAAAACTGCTAAAAAAGAGGTTGCTTGATCAAAGCTGAAGCAGCAAGTTCCAGTCCTTCCCTTCAGGCCTCAGCTCTGCATTCCATCTGCACAGCTATCAGGAAGCACCAGCAAACCATAAGGATAGCGTGAAAATATGAATTTGCAGCAGTCTGTAACACTAACATTCAGAGATGGAATAAGATTGCCCCTTTCTACAGAAGCTAAGATTTTAACTTCACTGGTCCTATACTGCCAAATGGCTGAATTAAAATACACCTGACAATGCAGAGCTGATTTAGGGTTTTTTTCTGGAAAAGCTGTCAGTATTGAAACAAATTCCAGACAGCACCCATGTGGGGACAACAGAACATTCAGCTTGGCTACAGCTCACCCCAAACAGGCTCTTGGCCAAAAGAGGAAGCAACACCAGTTACCAACAGGATGAGCTATGTTACTGTCAAGTCACTCTTCTCACTTCAAAATGAACATGCTGCCCCTATTTCCACAGGATAAAACCAAGTGCAATTGCAATATTTCTGTCAAACAGCATAATGGTCTAGATGTTCCTTAAAAAATGAAAGCAATCCACTCGAATACTAAAAAGTAGTCATTCTAAAAATACTATTTGCAGTGTAAGCCTGCTAATGGCGTGTGTGCAGAGAGAAACCATACCACCTTTAGTCAGTTAAAAAAGTACTTACCATTGGCAGTGCATTGATATGCAGAAGTTTTCCTTTCGGGTGCCTCTTGCCACAGAAGGGTGATGCTGGCAGGGAAATAAGGAGACAAAATAGGAAACATTAGTATTTATTATCTTGAAACCACAGCTACCAACATCTAAACATTTTGAAAAGCCCCAAACAAAAATCAACATTCCAATGGTATGACTTCCAAAATGGTTATATTGACTGTGAAACAGTAAAAGAAAAATCTGTTTTCCTAACACATCTTGCACTGAATAACTCAGTTTATGTACACAGGTGTGCCCATGAGCCCAAAGAGTTACCAACTCCAGCAGTGACCTCAATGATTAAAAAAACCACCAGCTCACACTAATTGCTAGAAAAACCACCAGCTCACACTAATTGCTAGCAACGCTTGACAACATGTAAATAACAGAAATCTTCGTAGTGCAAAATGCAAGAGAAATCTTGTCCACCTTTAAAACCCAAACAAAAACACAATCCAAACAAATCCACACTCTCCTACATTTTAATAATTTTCTTTACATGTCAATAATAATTTTATGCATCCTACAATAAAATAACTTAAGTGTAAGCACACAGCTTTTGACGTCCAGATACGAGGTAACTCCATCCACTACAACATTCATTTTTATTCAGCAGTGACAAACGATTTTTATCCACACTAATATCCCTGAGTGGTTGCCCTCCATACAAACACTTGCCAGACGACTTTTCTTTAGGACATAATCTAATCACCCACTCAAAGAGCAGGAAGGGTGACAGATGGACATGGGTGACTAATGAAGTATTACCAGACTATTTTTAGATTAAATTCTTTACCAAGCATCTGCAACCTGTGGTCAAAAAACTTTTACTATGAGTAAAGAGTAACTACAGTTTGTGGGACTCATGATTAACACGAGGTTCTCACGTGCAATTTACAAGCTCAACCAGCAGGAAATCATTCATTATAGAGCCATTTTTGGACCCAGCCAAAAAAAAAAAAAAAAAAAAAAAAAAAAAGGAGCGAGAAAGCAAAATAAAAACTGCAGTATTTGGGCTTATTTTATTCTTAGAAGATCCCACAAGGCAGGCAATAACATCACCTTCACAGTGCAAGCAAGAGGCACTGCAGAGGATGCTGAGGAATGCAGGAACGCTGGGAATTGAAAGAATTTGCAAACATGCTCTTATTTCCTTGCTTAGTTGTACTTGTGCTGCAGAAAATATGTAAATAGGCTGAGTGAAACTCCACTCCTCAAGAGGTACAGTATTCTATGCAAGGCTACTCAGGAAGTTTTTTTTCCACAGCCAGAGATGCTGACCAGCTGAGAAGACAAAGATTTAACACCCACTCTGTAGACCCCATAAAAACATTATTTGCTTATAACAAGAGTTTTCCTTAAAGCAGAACAAAACAGCAACCAACCAAGATTCTTTTGAGAACAATCTAAATCATGATAAAAGCTGTGTGCAGAGAAAGGCAGAGGAGGGCCCTGCTTCTGAGTGTGACGCTTGGTTTGGGTTATTCCATTTGGGAAGGAACATTGCAAACATAAATAAAGGGATGATTGCACAGACATAAACCATTTTCTTCAAGGAAAAAAGGCTTTCCTCAGTACACACTGCCCAAACTGTCTCCTTCCAACACCTCTTTGCCCTTGTGCAATCTCGAGTGCAGTACTTATCATCGAAGCCAGAGAGGGAAACCTTTCTGCCTGATCCGTGGAAGAGGCTTCTTGTCCTTTGCTTTACATCTAAACAGGGCAGTGACACGGAAAGAAGCTGGAAGCAAAGACTCAAGAGAGCAGAGAATTAGAAAAGAAAGGGTTCACTGACTTCACTTCATTCCTCCTTCAATGTTAATTGGTTGTAGGCTCCAGTTTTAAATAAGGGCGCTTGAAGCGAAGTGTAAACATTTAGAAAACTCTGCAATGTCCTTCTTCAGAATCAATTGCTGAGTACAAATGCCTCATCAGCAGCTTTTTTTCTTTCCAAATTTATCTTATTGGATTTTGGCATGTACCTTGAAACAATGCAGTCTGAAATCAATAAATTATAACTATCTCTCACCTTTATATTCCAAGACGTTACGGTGATTTAAACAGGTGCCCAGATGCAGTAACAGCTATTCTACATGACACCTAAAGGGCATCTGGTGGATTATTTTTAAGTTGGTAAGTGACACTTGGGGAATGCACAGCAGCTTGTGAGTTTGGATCCTTCATCTTGGAGGGGCTGGGAATGGCTCACCACTGCCTGTTGACTAACATGGTCAACATCAGTTGAAAACTGCTCCCCTCAACTTGAAAAGAAAGATGATTTTGATGAGCACAGCATGTGCTAAGAGCCAGTGCTTACCAGCCTTGCCCACACCAGTTTTTTCTGCACAAAATGACATCACTGATGCCAGTATCCCTCGGAGATTTGGGGCCAAACACTCGGTACAACACCCAACATCATCTCCCTGTGAAGAGCATCCTACCCTGCTGTGGCGCACAGGGACCAGCCACGCCCCAGGCCTTAAAGCCAGCCTGCATGAGCCAGGCATTCCCACCTGCAGGGCTAAAACCAACACGCCAAACCACCTTCATCAAAGCAGCAAATACCCATCCAGGCTGCCTGCACAGATTGGGCTGCTGCTATCAACCAAGTAATAATTGTGTGGTACAAAGGAAACCACAGATAAAAACAGCCCTGGCACCAACACAGTGACAGGTCTGGTTATAAACACACAGATGTGCACTGATGTTAGTCCTTACCTGCTTCCAAACACAGTCAGATCTGGTTATAAACACACAGACCAGATGTGCACTGATGTTAGTCCTTACCTGCTTCCAAACACAGTCAGTTCAAAGCAAGGATTTCTCTACAAGCTGCTTGCAGAAATGTTTAACCATTTCCTTCCAGAAATGCTGCTGTTGGTGCTACTTCCTCCTTCCCAGACATTACGCTGGTATGTGTTATGGCTAAACCAGTGTTTTTTGCACGAGCTTTGAATTGCTCCTGTTCCCCATGCGAACTTGTGCTTCTTTCTAATCCTCTTAGGATCACACTGTTTAAACTACTTTCTGAGATTTTGGTGCTATTTGAGTTCTAACAACAAATTTAGTCATTAGATGTTTTGCTTTCCGAATCACAAAAGCCTTCTAAGGACACAGTATCTTTTCTTCTAAATTATCCTTGAGTATCCTGCTTTTATCTGAATTCAGTATCTGGAAAAAGTGTCCCAATCAAAACAGAATTAAAAATAACTAAATCCTGGATATTCCCCTCAGTAACTAGGCTGCAAAAACCATGAGACAATAACTTTAAAAGCCTAAATTGAAAACTAATCACTCCATTGAATCCTTCCTTTCATTTGGTTAATAGGCACATACAAAGCTAATGGTGATTCTACCACTGCTGTGTTTGGAACATAAACAGAGAAAACCGAAGTTATTTCTTTTAATCACAGTTCCACAGTGATGTATGGCAATTTTTTTTTTAAGCAATTCAGCACGTCTACAACAACATCTGCTTTTCAGATCTGACAGAGAGGCTGAACTGAGACAAATACCAACTCAGAAAATTCAGGAGAAACAAATACATACAAGTGTGGGGCGGGGTGGGGGGGAATCAGCACCACACACAAGATGTCGTTAAAAAGTGTCATTACTTGAAAGTGCTAGGTAGCAATAGAGCTGCTAGTGACAAAATAACATGCACAGACTGCTCCTGTACTTCACTCTGGGAGCAGGCGTGGGCGAGGATGTTTTACAAGAAGCCTCATCAGGGGAAGCACTGAAAGTATGTAAGACCTGCCCAAAGACACATCCACACAAATTCCTAAACTCCACCTGAAACAGCTCTTCTCTGTCAATTGAGAAATTTTTATTTCATGATCTTTGTTCTTTTACCTTTATTCCATCAGAAATATAGAAAAACCTGATGTAAGCTGACTTTCCAGATGTTTCAAAGAAGAAATGCTTAACTTGTGCATTCCTATCACATTAAAGCTGCACAACTTTCTACACTTCAGGAATACTCTTACATAGAACAAGCACCTGTATGTCCATGGACATATGTGAATCCACTGCTAAAACAAAGGGTACCTGAGGGGATACAGAGTAAGAACTGGGCAAGCAGACAGCACTATTCTGGAGAAAAGTTCATCCAGATAGAGAAACCACTCATTGCAAACCCACAGAAACAGGATTCACAGTGCAATGAGAAACACAGGACAAGTCACCAGAGCAAAAGAATGCTGCAGAAATTTAAACACCAATTTCTGTAACAGTCAAAAAATGAGGCAATCACAGAAAATAGCTCATAGCCCACCGAAAGGGAAGGAAGCTGAATTGCTGCAGAGGAAACCAACCCAGCCAGCTCCATTAAAAACCCATAATGCACTCCAGTAATCTTGTCAATACCAACCAGCTGGTAGGAAGGCAAGCAGCACCGCGGCACCATTTCACTTGCAAGCATTTAAATGAAATTCATTAGTAAGTAATCCAATTCACGTAAACTGGAAGTTAGAAGGTCCTAGAGAATGAAGTTAAACCCAGTCTAGACTGGGAAAGAGTATAAAGAGTTATTACCCAAAGCACTCTTATGCCAAAGGACCTTAAAGCACTCACAAAACCCCAACTCCCACCTGCAGGATGGGGGCCCACCTGTGAAAAGTTAAGGTAGTTTCCAATTTGTGGCGTTTTTCTTCCAAAAATAGTGGACATGATGACTACTGACATATTGACCAAAACACTAGCATATTGACAAATAATTTTTCTGTGTTTTTAGTCTAGAACTGAGTTTTAAATTTAATTTCATCACAGATAAAACAACTTGCCAAACTGGGTGCTCTCAGCAGACACACTTCAAATAGGAAAAAGATTTTTCCTTCTCTAAAAAAAAAAAACCCAAAAAAAAAAAAAAAAAAACCAAAAACCAAAAAAAAAAACCCCAAAAACTAATAAAAATCTGATGTGTAACATTTAGAGGCCACTCCGTTATTACAGATTTCAAATACATACCTAAAAAACTGAACCCAGCCACAAAAAAAAAAGAAACAAAACAAAGAAAAACTTAAAAAAAAAAAAAA